GAGTACATTGATAATTTTGTGATTTTTTTGGAAGGATAGATGCTGAAGGCAAGGTGTTCTTTTCTATATGATTTATACAGGTCACACACCACCCAGGACAAAGTACAGGTACATAACCTGAGAATATAAGCGCTGGGTCTGTGTATATTGCAATATTAGATTCCTACACACAAGTAAGGCTGTGTCTACTAGACGATACCAAAACAGCTAACAAAGTTAGAAAAATTTAAGTAGCTATCCTAGGGTCTGTGTATGGAATACCATAGAAACAATTAAGGTTTCGGATTGAGATGATCTCAAAAGCAGCATCTGCACGCAAAAAAAAAAAATAAATAAAACACAAGAGCTCTTCAGCACGTAAAAATGAATTTACAAAAGCAGTACCGTTCAAACGATAGAATCTCAGTCCTCAGCTAAAGCTCTCTTGGTTCCACTTCACGATTTTACAAATAAAAAGCCTGAAGCCCCACAAAAATGAAGGGGCTTGACAAAGTCATCAAACGTTAGAGGTAAAATGGACTAAGAGCCCAGGTGTCGGCTCTCAGCCCATTGTCTCCTGTTCAAATGTCCATTAAAATAAAGGTAAGCTATCCAGAGGTCTCTAAAATGTTACGGTCATTCACATACCCACTCATTTACACATTCGGCAATTATTTCTGAAGTACTTACTATGTGCCAGGAGCTAGAGCTTGACCGCTGGGGATCTGAGTTTATTATTAGTGTGTCTGAATCTGGGTGCATGTGTGTGCGTCAGCATCGAGGGAGCAATCTCCTCTCAAATAGGAAAAACACTGAAGCTGTTTACAGGTTAAAAAAAAAACCTTGAGTCAGCTGAGCAGCCCTCATGTTATAGTCATTTATGACAACTCCCTGCCAGTTACAGATAATTACTATAGACACAGAAACTTACGCATGTCTTAAAATCTATCAAATTGATTTGGTTTCAAACTAGTTTTATGATAAAGCTACAATCTTTCTTGAGGTCTCAGTTCTTTTGTTACTCAGGGAACACAATTTTTCAAAAACTAACCACTTAGAAGGAATATAGATCGCAACGTCCAAATTATATAAATTCTTTGGACTTTCAGAGAACTTTAAAAAATGTATTGTTTTCTATTTACTCAACAGGATAATTTACTTGGCAGGAAAAATTAGAGTTATTTCATATCTGATTTTTGAAATAAGAATTAAGAAAAACAAATTTTTTTAAAAAGGATTTTATTGAGGAATTGGGGGGAGAGGAACAGTGCTGGGGAATTGGGGAAGGGTAGTAGACAAGTTGCTGTCCTTTTTTTCTTCAGTCTAGCTGTGGAGGACGTCGCTTCACTGGCCCATGTATTATCATTGCG